TCTTACACTGCTAAACTAGGGACGGCTAGCGAAGATAGCCCACGTGTAGCTTTGCGCGAAATTCGTAGCAAATAAACAAACTTAAACTGTGCAGAAGTATAGGATCAAAGCCGGAAATATAAGGATAAAAACTCAAGTATTAAGCCCGCTGACCGTTCAAAGTCACTTGGGTTTTACAGAAGTACAGGATCAAAGCCGGGAATATAAGGATAAAAACTCAAGTATTAAGCCCGCTGACAGTTCAAAGTCACTTGGGTTTTACAGAAGTATAGGATCAAAGCCGGGAATATAAGGATAAAAACTCAAGTATTAAGCCCGCTGACAGTTCAAAGTCACTTGGGTTTTACAGAAGTATAGGATCAAAGCCGGGAAAATAAGGATAAAAATTCAAGTATTAAGCCCGCTGACAGTTCAAAGTCATTTGGGTTTTACAGAAGTACAGGATCAAAGCCGGGAATATAAGGATAAAAACTCAAGTATTAAGCCCGCTGACCGTTCAAAGTCACTTGGGTTTTAGAGAAGTATAGGATCAAAGCCGGGAATAAAAGAGTAAAAACTCAAGTATTAAGCCCGCTGACCGTTCAAAGTCATTTGAGTTTTACAGAAGTACAGGATCAAAGCCGGGAATATAAGGATAAAAACTCAAGTATTAAGACCGCTGACCGTTCAAAGTCACTTGGGTTTTACAGAAGTATAGGATCAAAGCCGGGAATAAAAGAGTAAAAACTCAAGTATCAAGCAAAATTAGATAATTTTAATGTTGTTTTTGTTGTTTTCTTAATGCAAAGCCACACAATGGACCGTCTGCACTCTGTCCACCCGGGGGAGGGGTAATCGAACCCCTGATTTTAGCTTTGTAAGTCCGCTAACTTACCGCTGACCCACTGGGGGATGAATACGATGATACTCAAGACAATAGCGAAAATATTTATATATAATAATCAATGAACAGCTACGTTAAAAAAAAAAGAAAGATTAACCACGTAAACATATAACTTTTTCAGGGAAAACTCTAGAGAAATTACCTGATGAAACTAAAAAAAAAACAGATATGTTACAGTGAAGGTTAAATTCACGTACACTGCATCTGTTGAAATGCAAAATTAGTAGAAACTATATAATCTATCAGAAAATTGAATTATCAAGAGGAATCTGAATTAGAACAAATACTTGTTACCAACCTGGTGTATCAGAGGTAAGTTTACGGACTTACAATATTGAGGTTCTATAATCCAATGTGGCTTTGGACTAAAACAATCTATAAAATTTTTTAAACATATCTTGATAACAAACTTGTAACTATGTTAGCTTTTAGAGTAACATTACACTATGAAAACACTGAATAATGGCGTAAGTAATACAACAAAAATGATAATGATTACTTGGTTTGTTTGTTTATAATTAAGCACAAAACTACACAATAGGCTATCTGTGCTCCGCCCCCACGGGTATCGAATCCGGTTTTTAGTATTGTAAGTCCACAGACATATCGCTGTGCCACTGGGGTGCAATTCCTTTGTAACAAATAAATAAATATTATTTCTCTTTCATACCATTAAAATTCATAAGGGTTTGAAAACCCTGGGTCTGTAACTGGGAAGGTTCTGTTCACAAATCGAGAAACCACATTTGAAAATAGAATTGGGAAAATCTTTTAATATTTTTTTATCAAGTGTGTTAGCGTGAAAACCTTTTAATATTATGTTATTAAATGTGTTATCGTGAAAACCTTATAATATTTTTTATTAAATGTGTTATCGTGAAAACGTTTTAATATTTTTTATTAAATGCGTTAGCGTGAAAACCTTTTAATATTTTTTATCAATTGTGTTATCGGTATATCTTTATTTGATATAGCATTCTAATTTCCACTTAATGAAGTTCCTCATTTTACTGAAAAAGTGATAATTTAGGCTTAATAGTAATTCGATTCTATTTAAATTTGTTTGTTTGAGAACAAAACCATATTGGGCCATTTGTTGCATTTACTTCGAGGAAACGAACACCGGACTTTAGCATTGTAAGTTTGTAAACTTACTACAGTTCCACTGAGGGAATTCTAATTAAATGAATTCCCAGATTGCTTACACCTACGTATTTTTTAAGTCTTTGAAAATAAGTTTGCTTTGTTTTGTTTCTTTTTATCATAAGCAAGGAACCAAAATGGTAAAACATGATTTTGTTCTTATGTCAGATTAACTGAATTCATTACTTTCTAACATAGTTAAACAACCATAATTCAGGTAAATGAACTTTTGTATAAAAATATTTGAGTTGTTGTTGATGTCTTGGATATTTAAAGAAAATTTACAATAGAGCAAAAATTACAGTGATTTATCTCGTTATGTGTAAATTATATAATTCATAAAAAGAATGAACGACGAAATTAATAATTCTTTTAAATGATTAACTCCAGATTTTTAGAATATTAAATTAAAAAATCTGTTTTATTTCTTAATCAAATACCCACGCTTGTCTTACTCAGCATTTGCATATATCTTGGGATATATGCATTTGCAACAGTTTTTTCACATACGCTTTTGCAACTGTTTTGTCATATACACATTTGCAACTGTTTTGTCATATACACATTTGCAACTGTTTTGTTATATACGCTTTTGCAACTGTTTTGTCATATACACATTTGCAACTGCTTTGTTATATACGCTTTTGCAACTATTTTATTATATACACAGTTGCAAATATCTATTTTCAACTGATTCACAGATGTCTTAGTTCTGAATTAACTATTAACATTTGCAGTATTTCTACACATTTGTAAATGCTTTATCCACTGCACTTTATTGAATACTTAATTAAAGACTAGAATGTTCACAGTAAAATGAATTGGTGGGGTTTGAATATTTTGATTACTAGATTTAGCTGAAATCGACTTACAAAATATCGCGTTATTTATCCTTACGAATAAAATCAAGTTACCAGTTGGCCACTGTACCACTGGATAATCGGTTTGAGATTAGATGATAGCATAGGTTTACGGGTAAACATGGATTTAGGTTTAATGTTGAAAATTAGTTTTAAAGTAAAACTTTCAATGCTCAGCGTTTGCATAATAGCTTTATATATATTTTTTTATGGAGATTGTTACGCAATGATATATATATATACAACTATTCAATTATTTCTCTGTTAGATATTTCTTATTGGGAATAAAATCGTCTCTCGTTCACCAAGTAAAATCGTCTGATGTTCCAGTTCATTGTGAAAGACATCAACTGGTTCGTTATTGGGAATTTAAGTAAGAGATGGTCGTCTTCTGATTGTCCAATTCATTGTGAAAGACATTAACTGGTTCGTTACTGGGAATTTAAGTAAGAGATGGTCCTTCTTATGATGGTCCAATTCATTGTGAAAGACATCAACTGGCTCGTTACAGGGATTTTAATTAAGAGATTGTCGTCTTCTGAATATTTCCAAGTAAATGTAATGACATGGCTTAGTGGAGTATATTGTAAGATGTTTCAATTGACCTTCTAAAATTGACCGCAAAGTGCAAACTCAAACGTCGTTTTGATTTCTTATTTCTAACCGTTTAGAAAACCACTTTTTTCTTTTTGAGATCATCTCGATCCAAAAAAATTAGCCAATTCCTTTTTGTGAAAAATACCATTTCCTTAAAAGAAATTCCTTTAAAGACGAGAAAAAAAATCCAAGAACTAATTAAAATGAAAACCTTTGAATAAGAAAGTCAATATAACTCTTGTTATTAATTTTTCTTTCTGTGTCCATAAGAAGACAAATATCGAAACGTTTTGGTATATTATTATTATCTTAATAACGTTTATTGAGTCACTGATGAAGGTACTTACTCTTTTAAATTGTGTTGCTTACTGATGGAGATATTTCTTTGAAATGTCAAATGCTTTAGATAAATATTTCGATAACGAACGTAATTAGTTAAATGTTATATTCCAAGCTGAATATTTATATGTTTTAGAATCATACAACTCTTCTTTTGTTGTTAATGACCGATGATTTGATCTGCTAAAACTTGATTTCAAGTCTGTTGCAGTATTAGAGGTATTAGTTAGGGATTGGAAAACATAGTGGTGTTTGCTAGAAATAGCTTTCTGAAAAATCTAAGATCAGAACTTTAACTATTACTTTATTAACAGCATAGTTCCATAGCCTTATTGACATTCCTAGGTCTTTTCAAGAAGTGTAGTTCCATTAGTATGTAGTATGTTTGTAATTGTACTTGAATGTATAATAGGGGAGTACATGTATCGCAGCCGAAGGAAGCATAAAACAATATTTTAAACAGATCATCATATAAAAATAGTATTATATACAAAACAAGAATACTTTATACATATCACCATATAAATGATAATATTATATACAAAACAACAATAGTTTAAACATATCAGCATATGAGTAACAGTATTATATACAAAACAACAATAGTTTAACATATGAGCATATAACTAATAGTATTATACGCAACAGAACAATAGTTTAAACAGATCATCATATAAGTAACAGTATTATATACAAAATAACAATAGTTTAAACAGATCAGCATATAAGTAATAGTATTATATGCAACACAACAATATTTTAAACAGATCAGCATATAAGTAATAGTAGTATATGTAATACAACAATAGTTTAAACAGATCAGCATATAAGTAATAGTAGTATATGTAATACAACAATAGTTTAAACAGATCAGTCTCAAAGGTACGCTAAATGATCTACTGAAATGATCTTTTACTATCAGTTGATCGTGTTTGAATATATCTATAGCTATCATTGTATATGAGAACTATATAAAATATTTTAGTCTATTTAGTTTAAAACTGTGGATTGCAGTAACAACTCTTAAATAAAACATGTTTCATGGCTCTAAAACCATAATACTTCCTTCTTAAACCAGTAGATGGCGGTACTTACATTATAAGATTTCGCTAATTTTTCATTGATTCCGAGTTTAACCAAAATTTCAGCACGCAAAGCGCGAGGAACTCTCCCCACAAGTAAATGTTTCTCCAAAACCCCACAATATCAGTCTTAGCGTGGCGGTAGATTGGGAAGTTGCTTTGACCACGAGCTAGTGATACGTCCTGTTAAGGCTATAAAATATCCACTTCTTACAGTGGTTTAGCATGGAATACAAGGACAACTGGCAGATCTATAAAATACACAAAGGATTTTTAAGGTAGGTTCAGTTTTTGGTTTGTTTATTTTCCCGTGAACTATTAATTCCACATAAATTATTGTAAAACGTGCATTTTAAATACGATTAGTAGTGTACGGCTCAGAATTTCATTAATTATAGTTGGTTTAAAAGTACAACATAATTCATGCTTATAGTTTAATGATATAACATTTTTAATGTTTACTAATACCGTATTTTGGAAGCTTCGTTATATAGCGCTCTACATGATAACATGTTCCCTGTTAGCTGTGTAGAGTAGAAAAGTAAGATATAAGAGTGGACATTCTGCTCCTTCTGGTCATTGGACCACAGTTCTGCCTGGGTTTTATTCTGTTTTTACCACACTTCTGGTCATTGTACCACAGTTCTGCCTGGGTTTTATTCTGTTTTAACCACACTTCTGGTCATTGGACCACAGTTCTGCCTGGGTTTTATTCTGTTTTTACCACACTTCTGGTCATTGGACCACAGTGCTGCCTGGGTTTTATTCTGTTTTTACCACACTTCTGGTCATTGTACCACAGTTCTGCCTGGGTTTTATTCTGTTTTTACCACACTTCTGGTCATTGGACCACAGTTCTGCCTGGGTTTTATTCTGTTTTTACCACACTTCTGGTCATTGTACCACAGTTCTGCCTGGGCTTTTATTCTGTTTTTACCACACTTGACAATGTACGTCACAATAGCGCCCTGCTGGTGTATCACAATATTAAGTATGTGAGTGTACAACACATTTGTTTCCAGCTAATTAAATTTATTAAAACTGTACAAATGTTTTGTTAAGGTGTAATTGAAGAATGTCATGACTGAATGTTGTTTTAAATTATGTGGTAAGCAGAGAAAGAAATTTTAAGAGACTTGAAAACAAAACTTGATCGTACATTCCCAGTCACGGTCATCTCTTCTACCTTCTAATATTGCAAGAACTTCGTTTACTCAAACAGTAAACGGTACCAGCTGAGGACAGGAACCTGTTCAAGTCGGTTTCAACAGTATATTGTCGACATGATTAGCCAGCCAAGCATCCAGGGGAAATATTCTCAAAGATATTTAATTACAAAACCCATGGAGACGATTTCCCTGTTACAACCGAATTGTAATTAAATGTGACATCATTGTAAAATAAAACGTTTTATGTACTCAATTAAAATTAGGGCCCAACTAGGTAGTAACAAATACAAGGGACCATTTAAAAAATTTATCTGATATATATATATATATATGTGTGTGTGTGTAATGAACAGTATAACATTAACTTTGAATGATCTACTTAGTATAATAGAAAAAGTAAAAGATACGAATTTTATATAATGAGAATCCAATATTTCTATCAGATGTTGAATAAAACATTGCTTCTGGTTCTAGATAAAATAAGATGAATTTACTTTTGTGTTTTACGCATGATGAAACAAGAGATTAGTTTTACCTCGAGAAAACAATGTTCCGTAATGATCCTGAAGTAGCAAATTGCAACCTTAAACAATGTTCCGTAATGATCCTGAAATAGCATATCGCAACCTTAAACAATGTTCCGTAATGATTCTGAAGTAGCAAATTGCAACCTTAAACAATGTTCCGTAATGATCCTGAAATAACAAATCGCAACCTTAAACAATGTTCCGTAATGATCCTGAAATAGCAAATCGCAACCTTAAACAATGTTCCGTAATGATCCTGAAATAGCAAATCGCAACCTTAAACAATGTTCTGTAATGATCCTGAAATAGCAAGTCGCAACCTTAAACGAAATTTTATTTTTAACGCTCATTTAAGTCGAACAACTTAATATACACAAAATTAATTTGAATTAAAAAATGTATTTTTTATTAGTTTTATTTCCCTTCGTCGTTGTTCTGCATATAATTCATATAAAAATATGTTTTAATAAAATACAATGGGCTATCTGTGTTCTCCCTACCACGGGTATCGAAACTAGGATTCTAATGTTGTAAGTCAGCAGACATACCGCTGTGCCACTAGGGGGTAAGAAACCGGAAATTATTCAGCCATTTATGCAATCTATGAGTGAATCACAGTAAATGTTAGGTTGTAATTAAAATAAAATAAAAATAAAAATAGTTTTGGAATTGGATTTGATATATACGCTTTTGTTTTTATATATTTTCTTATAACATACCAGACGGTACATTTTAATTTACAACTTTTGTAACTGAAGGAAAACCAGTAATATTTGTAATAATATCTTCCCAATTAACCCGTTGTTTAATGGCCTAATTAAATGTTTAAACTGTAAGCGAGTAACACACAATGCACGTTTCACTCACTTTGTCTTTATGAACTACAGGTGTTGTGTTTAAGGAATTTTTGCGTTTTGGTTGAAACCTTGAGAGGACTGAACTCTGTAGTTGATATGCCTAATGAAGCCGATCTTAAGTTTCTATTTAGAAAGTGGTAAACCTTTTAACCTAACACAACAACAGAAACTTAAACAAGAGGGAATCCTCAATAGCCACGGCAATTGATATTAATTTAGGCATGTTTAGAGTAAATTAATCTTTGATACATTTTCTTCTTTTTTTTTTATTAGCTATGTTTTTGTGCGCCAAAAATACTAAGCGCGTATACCCGATTGGATTTTATTACTCATTAGGATCTCTGCCAGCCTACCCTCAAATTGAAATTGTTTTAGGTAGGATTAGACTAAATTGATTTCTGAGACTTTGGGCACGGCAAAATTCA